AGACTAAAGTGTTTGTTCGCGTAATTGTTTTGTTATATCCCAAACCTTCCCAACTTCTTCATTGCAGTTTGCAAAGTGAAAATGCCAAAGCGCACAAGCTGCACTAAAGAACTTGGAATAATTATGCGTGTCTGGAGTTTGGTGTGGATTTCGTCTTAAATCGGCCGCAATATAAATTTCAACTCGACGAAAAGTCTCAAAGGGCTTTTTTTGTAACCCCCTTTGAAAAGGTATCTAGGAGAGCAAGGGTGGCACATCTATGCGACAAAATGCGGGGACAGGCGGCCTTCACCAATTTCCATCGTCACTCCTAAGTTTCTTTCTGTAGTATTTCTCTTAAGGGCGAAACTCAAGAAACAAGACTGTTAACTGGCGTTGTCGACGACTTTCCGTCTCACGTTATTGCACACATTAGCAGCCGGGGCGGATCCAGTGGCCGGGACAAAATAATTGCTTTTATTTATTTTGCTGAGTATTCTATAAAAAACAATTCTATATTTCAAAGAAAGAGTGGTGACCGCGGCCCCCTCGGCCACCCCTAAATCCCCCCTTGATTAGGAGACATTGAATACAAGGAACAAAGCATTTACTAACACTGTGGTTTATTTAGACAAAACATAATCCGTTACTACTGGAAAAAGCTAAGTAAAAATAAGCCTTGTAGTTAAAAAATTGTGAACCATTATCAGGCTGTCCTTGCTATTGAACAGATAACAACCCATTCAAAAAACACACTTTCAAAAATGTGTCTAAATATTGAACAGAGTTTGAAGATAAATAATTGCAAATTACTAATAATGTGAGCTTAAAATGTAGCATTTTTTTCTTCATAATAATAAACTGTGGATCTAGTCAATCTTTTGCAGTTTTTTTCCAAGTATTGCATTTACAGCGTAAATAAAATAGAAGCAATGTAAGGAGACAGTGGACAGTGGAAATCCATATCATTTATGGGGCAAAAATATATGATTTACAAGTAGAACATAAAACACCAATTTCGACATATCAAAATGTCTAAACAAAATAATCACACAAAATGGATTTCCTCCCGAAACATGAACGGTGCTGATTAATGATCGGAATATATAATTGTGAACTGAATCGCAAAGGCACGATTATTGTAGCCCGATGCGAATGCAGCTGACTCTCCTCGCTCATCGCCGCTATTAGGAAGTTTCGCGGCAGAGACGTTTTCCGCGAAAGGTCCCTAACGACGAGGAGCGAGGAAAGACGGTTTTATTCGCAGGTTATAGATTATTTCATGTATGCTCAAATACCTGGATTCGATTGTTATTCCCATCACACACAACTATTCTTCCATCCCTAAGAATTGCTGTAGAAAATGGATTCTTCAACTCTCCTCTCCCGCTACCTTCACTTCCAAATTTTTTAACAAACTTTCCACTCAGTTCAAATACTTGAACTCTGTGATTTTGTGAATCACTGACCATTCATTTCTTACCTCTCGAAAGCCATCTTTTACTCGACCCGATAGGAGAAGTAGACTTATTTTCCTTACATTTTGTGTTTATTCCAAGAATAAATAACAGTTTGAGTCAATTCAGAGCTTCTTGGAATAATCACAAATTATCGACAGAGGGACAAAAAACTCCAAATCAACTTTACATTCTTGGAATGCTTCGGTTGTTTGGTTCAAACTACACTGCTGTCAAAGACTTCTTTGAAGATAATAGAGTTCCTGAAAACTACGGGATTTCCGAGCCAGAAGAGGTAGACGCGGTAAACGAAGATTCTAACGGAGCGGTTGTCTTACCGCAAAATGCAATTCAAATGTCACCAGATTGCCTAAGAGAGCTACAGGCCACGGTCAACCCTCTCGAGCAAGACGGGAACCATGGAATTTCTCTTTACCTTAAAGCTAGGGAAATAATCACTCGGTCTACCCAGGTAGAATGAACTTAAGAGTAGATTAAAGGTCTTGGAATGGATGCCAGTGGGGAAGAGGGGGGGGCGATATTTGAAAGAAGGGCGTTTTGTAAAATTCCGCCACTTTGGCGAGCAATAATATATATCCTAGCCAGCAAAAAATTTTGTCAGGTTACTTATTCTGAGGCACTATTTCAATTAGTGTCGCTTGAATTTTTCACCGGAATTTAACTCGAAAAAGGCTAGCCAACATGACAATCCATTTCCATCCAAAGACCGCATTAGGGACTTAACCGTATTTTCTTTGCTCAGGCTTTATACAATCTTTTTCATTCACGCCCCACGTACACATATATACGGAATTTTTTTCCCTCCCTTTAGCTGCGTATCCGCCTGTATAACTTCCTATTTAGTGTCTTACAGCTCGATGAAGAAGAAACACATGATATTACGGGAACAGAGGGCAAGAGCACTGGATTTCTTTACAAATAGTAATATGAATCAAATAAGTTGATATTGACTGTACACATTAAAACATATGCAATAAATTCACACGACTGCATTTTATTGATGTCAACCAATAGGTGTCGGGCCCTAGCTAGGATAAACTTTA